AGGGGAGTGTCTCCCACTAACCTTTGGTGGGGTCCCCCTCCAGTATGAACTGTCTAATAAACACTGCAGTGAAGCCTTGATTATTTTGCATTTGTGTCCTGCATTTTGATTCCACATGGATAGTGATTGATTGACCAATTGACCCGATATCATAGCTCTACTTGTTCACAATGCAGCACAAATAAGAAAAGACTTCTGGATGAAAAGATTAGGTGCTGTAACATTAGACAATCACAAGCTGAGGATAATATCCAGTATCGTGTCTGATGAATACCACATTTTCCATCTTAACATTTTCTATGCGTTCCACAGTGAATGCTGTACCCTATCTCAGAGCAGCTGAAGAGAAAAGCTGAAATTCTTTTCTTTTCGTCTTAGACTTCTGCTTTGTTACTGCTTTTGAGATAATGAAATGAGATACCCACTGAGATAATTTTATTATTATTATTATTATTATTATTATTATTATTATTATTATTATTATTATTTTAATTAGAGAGAGCTCCAGGAATGCAAACTGACTTGTGAAGAGGAAGATGAGATTTTCACAAAGGTGCACTTTATTATTATATACGCCAAACTTTCCAAACTTTCAAAGGGTTAGGTGTGTTAGTTGCAACAAAAATGCAGAGAGTCTTATGGTGCCTGTTAAATGTATTATAGTATCAGCTTCCATGGACTACACTATATCAGATCTATGGGATATGATGCTGTGAATTATGGTTGCTGTGGGAGCACAGGAGAAGACTATAAAGGGAGAAGCCAGAGAGAAATCAATAAGAAGAAGACAATAATAGTTTCATAAAGTTAAGCAATTCCAAGTACGATTCTCTCTGAAAACAGCAAGTTCAGTCCATAATCCCAGAGCATCATGATCCCCAGGGTTAAATATACATGTAACTCTTCTGTAACATTCACGAAGTTACCGCGGGCCTCTCACGAGTGAGGGGAAAGAAGACACCAAACTGATTCTCCTTTGAGGGGGGTGAGAGCGCCCAGACCGGAGTCTGGAAACCTCTTTTATTGAGTACATCAGAGGGCTGGGTTAGTACATCAGAGGGCTGGGTTAATACATCAGAGGGCAGGGTTAAGCATATATACATCACACTACCTAATACAAGCTCATAACTATATATGGTAATACATGAAGCGCAAGGGATCATGTGCTCCGATTGAGCATGTGACAAGCTGCGGGGGCTTGCCTCCTGAAATTTGAGGCTTTACCCCAGGTTGTTGCTGGTATTTTCCATGCTAGCTTACTTGTTAGCATATGACTGATTTTACTAGTCTGTACTAACAGAAATGCCTAGCATGTGATGGGGTGTTATAATGCAACACTCTTCCCTAAAGGAGAAATGAGCCAATGAACATCCAGCATGTAACTTGGCATGTGCTTGCATAGAAATACAGAGGGATGGGTCAGAAGGCCTCCCCTGGCTCACACAACCCTCCTACTTACTCTCCCCTGCTTCTAGGAGAGACTGCCACCACCCGCTTTATTCTGTACAATATCCCTCTCTGCATTATTTTACTCATGAGGAGTAAAGTGGCAAAGTTCCTCTGGTTTTTCTTGGTAGGTTAGCCAAATGAAAAAGAGAGAGCATGATAAAGTTAAAGTCCTCCCAGGATGTGAGACCTGCTCTGCTCCCCACTCCCATCCCAAGAGAGAAGGTACAAGAAAGGCAAGTTGCAGTTGTCCTTCCTGCGCCTGACTGGTTGCTTAGAGGGTGAATTTTGGAGCTTTAATGTCTCTTCCCTCTATCTAGATTTGTGTGATAGATCACACTGATTTTTTCCTTTAAATTTTCTGCGTCTGAGCCTTTTGGAACGGGACTTCTCCCTATTCACTACATATCATCTTTATTAGTGATCTCTTAATTAACCTTTCCCAAAGCAAGAACTTTTCTTTTTTTCTTTTCAATTTGGCAAGAGGGGTAGCAGGATAGTTGGCTGGTATTAACTAGGCCTTTGAGTGACCTTCCTAAATATTTCACTTCTGTTCTTCCCTGCTAATTTTCAGGTGTTTCAAAGGCAGCTCAAAGAATCCAACTGATTTTGAGGACAAGCATCTTTGAGGTTTTCAGCTACCTGCAGTGCTTTCATGTTGGCTGGATTCATATGTTCCATTAATCCATGGTTTATTTGGCTATGATTTCTTGAATGAATCACAAATGTCTGGGTCCTCATAACAGTAAAGCATGCATGATTTATAAACAACAATAACTGGGTTCCCACAAGAGACTGAGCCACACACATATTATATTTTCGCTTCATGCAATGTTTCTACTCAGTCACTGTATCTTTAATTAAGGCAATCATAAAGAACTTGCAAAAATGCAAATGACCACTAATGACAGCAAAAATCTGTTTTCTGTATCTCTTTGCTGCCATCTAGTGCCATCTGGAAGTTTGCAGCCTAGATATGGTACTTAATGGGCATTCAAATGTGTCTCCTATTATGGAAATGTGCTGAATAATAAAAACAACGCAGCCAAGAAATATGTGACGAGTGTGACAGAAATTATGTGAATTTGTTTTCCAGATGAAACACCAAATCCGGGAGCTAGAAGAGCACATACAAGAGTATGAAGTAAAAATACAGGTATTTTGTAAAGCGCTGTAGTGTGGGTATCATATGTGGGCTGCAAAAATCCAGATGACTATTTTATGGCAGCAAAGTTGGAGTTTCCTTTGCTGCTCCCTAGTTGTTGTCCATATTTATGCAGTCCCAAGATGGTCGCCTATTGAAGGATAACTTGCTGATGGCTCCTAAATTAGCTCTGGTTGTTCTAGTTGATGACCTAAGGCAAGACTTAGATGGAGGAGCATGACTCTACTAGTCATTCTAGATCTTCAATACCATCAACCATGGTATCTTTCTGGACCCCCTGTGAGGGTTAGGAGCTGGGGTCACTGTATTTTGGTGGTTCATTTCCTTCCTGTTAGAGCAGTTCCAGATGAGGGACAGATCTGGGACAGATGAGGTCAAGCCTCAAGCACTGCAGTAAGGGATGCTTCTAGCCTTGACCATCTCTCCTGTCTTACTTAACATCTACATGAAGCCACTGGGGAAGGTCAGTCAAAGGTTTTGAGTCTGGTGTCATCAATATGTTGATGATACCCAAGTATACATCTCTATCCCAAGTCATCCAGGAGATAAGGTTGAAATCTTGTCTCAAGGCATGGAGGATTTAAGGGTCTCGATGGGGGGAAACGGGTTGAGATTAAATTTTAATCTCAACTTTAGGAAACTGGCAAGTAATTGGGTTGTGGGTTTAGAAACTGACTCTGGGATAATACCAGGTTTAGTTCTGAACAGGGAAAGAGCTCCCCTAGAAAGATCTGCTGTGTAATCTGAGGGTGCTCATAGCTCCTGTTGGAACAAGGCTAGGAAGGCCTTGTTCAGCTTCAGCTGGTCTACCAGTTGTGACCATTCCTAGAACAGAAGGGATGAGCTATGGACACTCATGTCCTTGTTACTTCATACATGCACTACTGGAATGTCCTGTATATGGGACCACCTTTGAAAACCATCTGGAAATTGTAACTAGTGCAAAATGCAGTGAGCCACATGTTAACCAGGACAACCTAATATTTATCATGTAACACCAAGTTTGTGGCAGCTGCATTTTCTGGGTGCAGTTCAAATATTGGTGATGCCTTTTAAAGTCCAACATGGCTACTTCCAAATTCTTGATTCTGAATTGAATCTGCCTGCCCAAGTCATTTCTGTAGACCAAGCTTGCTGAGAAACCCACTCCTTGCCTGGTGTGATGAGAGGGGGCTTACATTGCACAATTTTCTGACTAACCTTATGGATTTATGAGTCCCACTTATAGTCAAGCACTCTCCTTTCTCCCCCTTCTTCAAGCATGTACTCAGGCTCCACCCATTAGCTTTAACCAACTATTCACAAGTAACCGTCACTGGGCATCTTGAAGGAGCTAATTTTGTACACAGATCAAGTGAAGAAGACAGGATTTCACATGCCATGTAGTAGGACTCCTTTTCCTACTTTTCCTAAGGCACTAGTATTAGAACAGCTAGAATCTTTTAGTGAGTTATGGGCACATAGTTTCAGAGATTATAGAGTTTTGTTGAAACTCTTTCCCCTCACTTTCACTCACACTCTCATTCCACCAATCACTCACATGGCTCTTGTGACCCAGTGTTGGCCATATGTCTAGCCCATTAGCATGGGGGTCCTCTATCCAGATAGAAAATCTTTTGCTTGAGGTTTTTTATAGACTTGCCAGTTGCTGGGCTAATTGCCATGCACAACATTGATTTACATGCTGTCCCTTAAAAAGTTTATTACTCCAGCCAGCAGTATCCTCACTCTTCAGGGATCTGTTTTTCTAATCTGTTTGTTTTATCTTTATCTTTTACCTTTATTGATTTTATTGTAATTTCTTTGATTGTTGGGAGCTGCCCAGAATCATTGAGAGCTGAGTGGCATACAAGTTGAAATAATTATTATTGTTGGTCGCACATTCAGCCAGATGCTTAGACTGGATTTGGCATTTTTATCCACCTATCGAGTCCTTCCCAAGGACCTGGGA